CAAAACCAAACCCACTGCCATCAAGTCAATTCCAACTAATAGCAATCCTACAGGACAGAGTCAAACTGCCCCATTAAGTTCCCAATGCCATGAATCTTTACAGAAGCAGACACCACATCTTACTCCTGTAGAGCGCCTGGTAGGTTTGAACTGCTGACCTTTTGGTTAGCAGCCAATGCCTTAACTACTACACCACCAGACCGCCTTTATAACAGACAGCTCAATATAAATATCAACCATAGAAAAGATTGGGTCAAATTAAATAAAAATAATTAGATTTTCTACATATTAATAGATATGTGTCAATAGATAACAGTATACCTACAATTTTATCATTTGTTAGTATATATTAAATTAGATTACATATGTTAATATGTGCATTTAAGAATCCAAAATGGTTACCAGTGGTTATCAGTTACATAGTTTCGTAACTTTAAAATTGTTTTACAATGCACCTGTACTACTTCTACAATAGGAAAAAAGAAATTAAAAATGGTATCATTTATCTCATTTGTGAAAAAGAGGTACAGGAAGGACAAACCAGAAACTAGAGAAACTGGCTGTCTACAGGGTGTGGGTAGGAAAGGGCTGGAAAGGAGGAAAGAACAGAAACGGGGTTGGAGGGATGAGAAGAAGAGACACTGCTCTGAGTGGGTCTTTTTGTGCAGCTCTGGCTCTTGGAACCATAGTCATCTCTCACATACTCCCCACACACCCAGAAAACAAACAATAAAAGCCAACCAGGACGTGCAGAGAACCTAAAATGAAATACAAACGCTAACAAATGACCCTAACTGGATTAAAAATGAATAACAGAACCACACTAAAGGGGGTAGAAAGAACGAACTTAAGTTACTGGAAAACAGTTCACTGCACTTGACTAGTTGCTAGAAGACCAAAGGTAAAAAGAACTGAACAGAAATGCTGTAATTTAGTTAGTAAACGTAGTTCTGTAGTTCTCCCAGGGGTATGGGTTAGTAAATCTGAAACTAATTTATGTGCCTACTAAACAAAACAAAACACCAATCCACTTGCCATTGAGTCAATTCTGACTCATAGTGACCCCACAGGCAGAGCAGAACTGCCCCATAGGGTTTCCAAGGCTGTAAATCTTTATGGAAGCAGACTGCCTCATTTTTCTCCCAGAGTGGTTGGAGGGTTCAAACCACTGACTTTTTGGTTAGCAGCCCAATGCTTTAACCACAGCACCACCAGAGCTCCATGTGCCTACTAGAATTGAACAAGTAAATATATTATAGATAATGAGGACTGAATTTCTCACTGTTAGAGAAAAGTTACAAATAAGGAAAGGCTTACATGAGCCCTACAGGGTTAGACTGGAATCAGAAATACCAGCATGATCTCCTGGTTTGCAATATAAATACATACAGATAGATAAAGAAGCACAGGTTCTTTTATGTGTGGGTTAGTATTCATAAATAAAACACCCCAAGTCTGCTCGCTAAGAAGGCCTAGAAGCAGTAACACCTTAGTGCAATGAACACCCTGGCACCTATATCTTGATTTCTAAATACCATTCTACAATAGAAAGACAGAGGGCTCCTTGGAGAAGTGGTCGATCTCAGAGCTGGTGCACAGAAAATATAAGATAAGCCTGGAATATCTTGCGGTTACCAGAAAGAAAAGCAGCACTCAAAAAAAAAAGGATGGGAGTTTTGGGGAAAAAAAAAAAGAGCCAACCTGAAGCAGCACCTAATGTTCAAAATGGGAACAATCCGGGCAACAGAATAAATAATGGCAGTGTTAGCGTTTATCCTGACCCACTGGGACATCAGCATTTTTAAATGAATATCCATGACTCCATAGCAATACAGATAAATAACAGAATAAATAAATAAATGCGGAGAAGGGGCAGTTCCTCCTTATAGAAGAATTCCATTTCATAAAGGTGGAGGGAAAGAGGAAAACAGAGAGTCACCATGAAGCAAATACCATAGTAGCTGCTGCAGACAAGATCCACTGAGGGACGCAAAAATCAGTAGTCCAAGTTTAAGGAGTGCGTATTCGCGGTCTCAAAGTATCTCCTCCAATATACTTACTAACTACAAAGGGAAAAAGTATCTTTATAGGCACAACCTGGCACCTTACCCACATGATCAAGGCTAACATCACAGTGATAAGACATTCCAACATTACAAACCCCCTGAGACACAGTGCACTAAGGAGGACACATCATGCCTGTGGTATTTGTGCAGAAAATGCAAAACCTCATTCTAATCATGAGAAGGAAGTCCCTGAGTGGTACAAAAGGTCAGGGTGCTTGGCCACCAACCAAAAGGCTGCCAGTTCAAATGCACCCAGAGGCATCTCAGAAAAAAGATCTGGCAATCTACTTCTCAAAACAATTCACCCTGAGACCTTACAAAGTGCAGCTCTACTCTGACACACGGGGGTCTCCATGAGTCAGCACTGCCTTGCGGGGACTGGCTGGGAATCATGGGGAACAGCACCGAATCCCAAATTGAGGGACTTTCTGCAAAATAAATGCCCAGTACTCCTTGGAAGGAAGATGGGGCAATCTACTTCCATAGTGATACTGCCTCGGAAACCCAAGGAAGGGTCGCTATGAGTCGCGTCCGACTCAAGGGCACATAACAACAACAACAACAACTCTTCAAAAGTGTCAAGATTATGAAAGATGAAAAAAGACTAACGAAGCCTCCCAGACTAAGAGGAGACTGAGGGAAAATAACAACTAAATGTAATGGATCAGATCCTAAAACAGAAAAAGAACATCAGAGAGAAGGCTGGTAAAATTTAAATAAGTTATAGTTTAGTTACTAGGAATGGACCAAGGTTAATGTTCAGCTCTTGATTACTTTCCCAGGGGAAGTGGAGTGAGTGTGGTGTAGTGCCTAAGACATTTGACTGCTAACCAGAAGGCCAGGGTTCAAACCCACCAGGCACTCCTCAGAAGGAAGATCGGGCAATCTACTTCCATAATGATACCACCTCAGAAACCCAAAGAGGGGTCACTATGAGTCAGATCCGACTCAAAGGTAGTGAGTTTGGTTTGGTTTGGTTTATTATTTTTGCAATTTCTCTGTTTTTTTTTTTTTTTTTAAATTAAACATACAGTTAGGAAATCTGACTGTTAAGTCTGGAACAAAATGCTTTAGATAATGTAGACTTTTTTGGTATAAAAACTGTAAAGCTTCTCTCTTTTGTATTAAATACATATACAAAATACCCCAATCAACACAAATCCAAAAAGAGAGCAGTAAGAATAATAGCCGATAGTATCACTAAGTGCCAGGAACCAAACTGAACGATTTAAATGCATTACTTTGTTTAATTCTCACAACAAGTCCTATAAGATAGGTAATAACATCATCAACAATTTACAGATTAACAAACACAGAGGTCACATGACCTGTCCAAGGCAAGATCAAAATCTGAGAGCTGGGATTTCAGCTCAGCAGTCTGACTCCAAACATAGTCATATAAGCAGGACAACTCTACCATCAACACACACACACACAATTTCTTAGGATTACTATTAAACAAAAGAAAAATAATTCCCATGAAAATAAACACCTTCAGACTTCTCCTGCATGCTGATGA